AGTGGCTCTGTGCCTAACCTGTGCTACACATTTTTTCTTCTTGGTAGTAAGCACACACTTATACTGGTTTAATGCCTGTAGTTCGATAGACGGTACAGATAAACAGTTCTTTTCGGTTGGGGATTTAAGTTCTGTTATCCAAAGGGCTATCTCCAATCCACTGATTCCTTGGGTGGGAGGGGAAAAAAACAGTTTCTATGAAATTTTGTGTTGGTCAAGGGTTAAAGTCTGGTTTTCTATTGGTATGACTAAGGAAAGTTGAGCTTGGGGGACAGGAGGTTGGTTGGTTAGCTGGGGTGGTTTTGTTGTGGGTTTTTTTTGGGGGGGGGGTGTTTGGAGGTGGTTCTGGGTTTTTTTCTTTCTTTTTTTTTTTTTTTTTTTTAGAGTAATAGCAAAGCAGTGCTAGAAATACACTGCATCCATAAACCTGTCTTAAAGGAGAGCCTTCATCCTTATACTCAGTATGAACTAGGACATTTCTGAAGCCATAGTGCTTTTGCTTGCTTGCTTGCCACAAGTGGGTTTTACTCTATGCTTCAAACTAAAGCCCTCTGATGATTCTTTTTGCTCTTCCTCAGGTTTAATTCTCAGTTTACTATCAGGTGTCACTAGCAGACAAACTTTCTAAAGCCAAGTGCTATGGAAAAGCAGAGCATGGAATTTGGATTCCCCTGTCGTTCACAGAACTGAGCCTTCCAGGTCAGGGTAGATTGTGTTTTCGCTACCATCTGTTGTGCCTGAGGATGCCAACGCAATACTTTTCATGACCAGTAACCTTACACAGTTTGCTGAGAGAAAAAAAAAAAAGTGGCATTTTTTTTTTTGGTCATCAACAATTTCTACTCTTACGTGAATTTCTATGTGCTTTCAGAAGGCCAGTTTTAAGAACAAATTCTATGGCAGGAGAATGTGTAACACATGTAAGAAATTATATAGGATTTTGGCTCTGAAATCTGTATTTGGGAGCTGACCAGTTTTTCAAGTTCTGACCCAGCAATATGCAGGTAACTTTGGTAATCTTTTATTTAAAGAGTGCCTAAAGCACTGCTAATGACCTCAGCACTGTAGGAAACTTCTTCTGTAGATTGTCTTGTGTGTTTAGCAGCTTCTGGTGATTATTTCGCCATGTATTTAGAGCAGATTCCAGTTATCACATGAGTAACATCATGTCAGTTCTAGTTCTTTCATTCTGACATCTCTTTTGGCTCCCAGTGCGATTTGGCCTGGTTTTCCAAAATGTTGATCCTGAGTCCAAATGTAACTTTGTGGGTGGTACATATGTCAAGCCCCAGTTCAGTATTTTTGTACAGCAGTAGCATTTCATAATTCTTTTGAAATGAAAAAAAGAAACAAAGTTAACTGAAAAAAAATGCAGCTAGATCTAGCTGGGCACAACCTCGCCTTTTCTGCTCCCCCCTCCACCCCCCTTTTTTCCATTTGGAAAAATAGAGGTTTACGTGGCAGAAGCACTTGACAGGATTTAGGTTCATTCAGAGCAGCAAGCAATACCATAGCTTTGTCTTTATAACCTATCTTGTCATAGCCTGGTGGCCACTGAGACCTCCTGGTGTGCAGATGAGGAAGATGGGGAGAGTGGAGGGTTGCAACCCTGTGTTTGTGTGTGTTAAAACAGGGAGCTAGGCTGAATTACGTAGATGGTTGAATAAGGCCATGTTGGCACTAAAAAAGCCAAACAACCCCCTCAGGTTCTCCGTATGTCTGTGTTTGATATACCTACTGCCATATTATATCTTTATATACAGCACACTCTAAACAGCACAGGAAGGTATAAATGCAACTTTATTACATAAAATCAAGTGAAATAGTCCAGAAGGTTGTAGCCTGTGTGAAATAAACACACGTACAAAGTACAGGAGGTTTCACAAGGCATAAATCAAAATGAACTTCATAGCTTGCTTCCTTCCTTCCTTCTCCCCAGTGCAGTTGCTGAGCTGCTAGCTGAAAATCTGACCTTCATCCTTCTCTTGCAGCAAACCACACACTCATATATTATTAATTCTGTTTCGCTAGTAATGCAGGACATAGGTACTCTTCTAGAGTGTCTCAGGTTGCTTTTCAGCGCGTCTGTGCCAGCTCCACTGCTGCGGTTGCAGTTCTGAGCATTGTTTTTGAAGCGCTGATAATTTTTCAGGTGATAGCAACATCAACAAAAAAACCGTGTTTGAGATGAGTCTTGACACCCAAGTTCTGAGCCCAAGAGGTGATTTGCTGTGAGAAACCACAGAACAAATCACTGTAGCCCTCTGGGCCTCCCTCACTTCGTCGCATAGCTTCAGAGGTCATAGGCTAGCCAGCTGCCCTTCCTAATCTGCTGATGAACCGAGTTAGCTTCAGCCCTTGCAGCACGGCCTCTTTCAGCAACCTTGCACCATTGTGTAATAGTTGAAGGCCCAAGGGACGATGGTCCTTATGGTGGTTCTGTAAAAGATGCTGGACTTGGCAGTGGGGACCGTTCTTTTGAAGGACACTGGCCTAAATGATGCCTTTTTGTCCCCTTCTTTTTTCCCTTCTTCCTAAAGCGCAGTCAGTGTGAGGTGCTATGCAGGAGAATATAAGGAAGGAGGGGAGAGAGGGAAGAAAACTTGATGTGTTTTTGGCTACTTAAAGTGGGGGCTTCAGTCTTAAGTATTTGTAGTTGTCTTGCAGATAATATAGTTTGTGGGTAAAGAACAGGTATGTTTTTTCCCTTTAAAAAGGGGGTTGCAAATAGTTAAGTCACGTCAACTCTAGTCTTGTTTGCTGTTTGTAACAAATATGTACAAAAACTTGAAAATCCGGGAGGAATGGATGTCTTGTCAGGCTTGTGGTTCGATTAGTCATTTGACTCTGATGCCCAGTATGGACTCAGCTGATACCCTTTTTCTTGGTGCCAGAGCACAACTGCTCTATGCAAGGAATAGGAAAAAGTTCAGACTCCTCCTGAAGGAGGTTTTGCCAGGGCTCCCCGCACTGTAGGTCCAGCTGGAAGCTTTGGGACATGTTCATGAGCAGTCAGGGATGGTAAAATTCTTCCTCCACATTCAAACCAGGATATCCAAGTTGCTGAGTGTGGCAGAGACATTAGCTATTCCCTGTTGGAAATAAAGGAACAAGAGCAAAGTCCGTGACTGACTCATCCTTCCCAACAAAATGCTATTCCAGGATTTAAACATCAGGGAAGTATTATCATGCTGGCTACTTGGAGTGATTTGTGCCTTTTTTGTTTGGTTTAAGAGCTAATCTGTCTGCCCTCCCCAAAATGCCATTTAAATGCCTTGACTGTATTGTCTCTTATAGAGAAGCCCAAATATCATGGTTACATACCTAAGCTATTCTTGACTACGTGGTCTCCCATGAAACACCTACAGTGTTTTGCAAACCTCACTTGGTTCCGTTTTGGGATTTCACACCTAGTAATGTTTTGTAGTACAGGAGCGGAGTCATCCACTAATTTCTTCTTGGTGTTTTGGTTGCTTTTTATTTTTTCTACCCCTCCCCTAACCCTAATATGGGCCCTACCTGTGATTACTGGGAAACGTAAAGGTGAGGCTTAAATGTCTATGCTACTCTCGTTAAGTCTGAGGCTTGCCTAGGTGATGCAGCATATATAGCTGTGTAATACAGCACCATTTATTGATCCCAGGTCTATGCCATATTTCGGTGAAGCAGGGGGCAGTTTGATTACAATGTAGGATTTCACCCTTTACTTTTAATTTCCTGCTGGTTTGTGTCACAGCCTCGCACACGATTGAATGCAACTCCCCGGAGCTCAAGCAGCCAGAGCTGCGCCGCGGGGGCTGGTGGTGGCTGGGAGGGGATCCGCTGCAGGCAGCACCTTCCACCTCCCACTGTCCCTTCCACTTTGGCGGGGAGCACTGACTCGCATGGTCAGGCGATGATTTTGGTATCACCCTGAGGGATTTAGGCAGGGGTGGACCGGGAGGGAAGGACAACATGCAGGGAAAGGCTGGGGAGGGACAATTTTGTGGTATGAAGGGAAGTATGTCCCTCTGGGGTGACGTACTTTAACCAAAGAGGCTCCCTAGCACCTCAGCTCAATCGTGTTATACAAACCATGGGGCTCTACAGCTTATGAGAATGACAGCTGTCTTTTTTTTTTTATTTCTCACTGGCTAAATTGCTCACCTTCTCACCTCATCAGTGTCAACAGCTGGATGTGTAAAAGGTAGAGTACGCAGGCATGTGGTAAACAGAATCAGAGCATGAGCGTTTACTTCTCTTGTCTCTTGGCCATGGGAAAACTGCTGTGAAACATGAAATCTCTGACAGCCTTGACTGTTGCAGTCAAGGTCAAATGAGCACTAAATATCCTTCTAAGGCTCTTCAGCACGTGAAGCTTGTCTTGGTTTAAGCGGTCCTGAAAGGTGAGAACAGGGTCGGCGAGCTGTTTCACACTTTGACTGTGTACACGTCCTGTCATTGCTCACCATTTCACGTTAACAGTGTGAATCTAGTCGTTGGTTAGCTTCTTGGTGGGTTTGGGGTTTTGTTTGTTTGTTTGTGTTTTTTTTATGACACTGTATTACGGTATAGCTGCTGCCATAGCCAACGATATCCTGCCTGATGAGGATGCTATTCCAGTCCACCTCTTTTTCCTTGCAAGCAATAGGAGCAGCTTGGCATGTTAGATATTTCCTCGTGTTCACTTTTCCTTTTGGTGAAACGGATAATTCTTTAGGGAAAATCTTGCCACAGAAAAATAAATTTACATCTTGGTTCAAAGACAGAGTCCCTAGGAAAAATAATGATTTTTTTTTTTTTTTTTTTTTTTTTAAAACCAACCTTTTTTTTTTTGGGGCGCTGGGCCCCTCTTTTTG